TATATATATATATATATATATATATATATATATCTGTAATGGGATGTAGACTTTATGATAAATAACCTAAGGGTATTAGTAAGCCTAAAAAGATTTAACAAAGTCCACTAACAGTGATTAGCAATGCAAGTTTTACAGTACTATTAGTATAATAAATGATAGTTCTACAGTGCTATTAGAATACTGAACAATATGTATTTTACAGTGTGCTATTAATGTATTGAACAATGTGAGTTTTACAGTGTGCTATTAATGTGGGTTTTACATTTATTATCAATGTGCCAAACAATGTGGGTTTTACATTTATTATCAATGTGCCAAACAATGTGGGTTTTAAGTTTGTTATCAATGTGCTAAACAATGTACAATTTAAGATCAAATCACGGTGACTGTCAAAATAACAATAAACTCACCCTGATTGTGGAATTCCATACTTAACACCAATACCAACAGATGGCAGTGCATGGATCACCTTCTTGACAGTAGCAGTGTCATCAAATGAAAACATAATTGATGCTGTAGAAAGAAATGTTATAATTCATAATATATTTCAGAAAAAGTGTGCCTTTGTGTGAATAAAAACAGAGCCACTCTCAAAAGAGCTAGAATTTTATAATTTTTATTTATAATGAAATAATTTAAATACATTGAAAAATATATAAAGAAATCATGATTTTGAAGAAATAATAAAAAGGTTGAGATGGTGTTTCAAAGATTAAAAATAATTAATAATATTATAATGCTTGACTTTATCATTATCCTTAGAGAATATTTGATTATCACATTTAACTTATAATGACAAATTCCAGGACTGTCAGGCAAACAGAGTTGCAAATGTATCAGTAAACTACCTTCAGGTATAAAGAAATAAGATTTATGATAAACTTGAGCCTGCACCTACAACATCAAGTATAAGAATATGAGATGTGTTCAAACCTGCACCCACCACATCAAGTATAAAACTATAGAATGTGTTCAAACCTGCACCCACCACATCAAGTATAAAACTATAAAATGTGTTCAAACCTGCACCCACTACATCAAGTATAAAACTATAAAATGTGTTCAAACCTGCACCCACCACAACAAGTATAAAACTTTAAAATGTGTTCAAACCTGCACCCACTACATCAAGTATAAAACTGTATAATGTGTTTAAACCCGCACCCACATCAAGTATAAGGATGTAGGATGTGTTTAAACCTGCACCCACATCAAGTATAAGGATGTGGGATGTGTTTAAACTCACACCCACATCAAGTATAAGGATGTAGGATGTGTTCAAACCTGCACCCACCACATCAAGTATAAGGATGTACGATGTGTTTAAACTCGCACCCACATCAAGTATAAGGATGTAGGATGTGTTTAAACCTCACCCACATCAAGTATAAGGATGTAGGATGTGTTTAAACTCACACCCACATCAAGTATAAGGATGTAGGATGTGTTTAAACCTGCACCCACATCAAGTATAAGGATGTACGATGTGTTTAAACCTGCAGCCACTACCCCAGTAAAGCACTTGATAAATACAGGTTTTCGGCAGTAGAAGTACAAGTTTTTTGTCCTATACCATATTTAAAATTGTTTCTATGACATTTCTTCCAAATGAAATCAAAGCATTTTAAGAACTTTTCATGACCACCACATTATATTTTCCAGAACCAAAAATGCTACATCAACTACAGTGCACACTGCCTAACATCCAAGCACATGTTCAGTGGTATAAAGGATAATGGATATCAATAATGCTTATAAAATAAAACCACTGTAAAAACACAACATTGAAATAGAATGTTTATTTTATCTAGCAACATTTCGAGCAACTGCTCTTAGTTAGGCCTAAAATGATAACATAATGTCTCTAAAAATACAGTAAAATTCTAGTAAAGACTTTGGAATGGATAAAACAGTGTTGTGAGCTTTTTTTTTTATAATCCTCAGAATGTTTTCACTTTGAATTAAGTAAAAAGAACTTGTAATACGAACCAGTAAGTCATGTTACATATGCATTTAAGAAATGCTATCTCTGCATACTGTATTACTATATATTACATTGTGAGTTTTAAAAACTGATACTCACGTTTGTAATGAATGATATTAAATTAATTTCCCTATTTTTTCAATCCCTAAATGCAGAGCTTATTTCAAGTCTATCTGTGCTCTTGGGAAAATTCTTTAAGTCTATGTTATACTCACTTCTAGAAGCCAGAAAAATTTCCACAGCAACATATTGTAGGAAATATCTCCTCGAAAAGATTGCTCGAATTTCTGAAAAATGCCATTTCCCATGGATATTATCACAATACTTCAGTATCTGAAACAGAAAATATACATTTATGGATTTAACCTAAAGTTGTAAAGAACAGTGCATTGCTTCAGCCCTTGAGAAAATAGTATATACATAAAAGGAAAAACAGGGGCAAAGCTGTATAAAACAATACAGCTTCAAAATAAATAGAAAATTAGGTTGTCCATCATAAGCAAAACCACCAAATGGTGTTGCTGACCCTTAACAAAATCATGTACTTGTCCACAATGGTGTCGCTGGCCCTCAACAAAATCATGTACTTGTCCACAATGGTGTCACTGGCCCTTAACAAAATCATGTACTTGTCCACAATAGTGTCACTAGCTCTTAACAAAATCATGTACTTGTCCACAATGGTGTGGCTGATTGTGGACAAGTACATGATTTTGTTAAGGGTGGTGTGGCCCGGCCCTTAACAAAAATCATGTACTTGTCCACAATAGTGTCGCTGGCCCTTAACAAAATCATGTACTTGTCCACAATAGTGTCACTAGCCCTTAACAAAATCATGTACTTGTCCACAATGGTGTGGCTGGCCCTTAACAAAATCATGTACTTGTCCACAATGATGTGGCTGGCCCTTAACAAAATCATGTACTTGTCCACAATGATGTGGCCGGCCATAAACAAAATCATGTACTTGTCCACAATGGTGTGGCCAGCCCTTAACCAAAATCATGTACTTGTCCACAATGGTGTCGCTGGCCCTTAACAAAATCATGTACTTGTCCACAATGGTGTCGCTGGCCCTTAACAAAATCATGTACTTGTCCACAATGGTGTCGCTGGCCCTTAACAAAATCATGTACTTGTCCACAATGGTGTCGCTGGCCCTTAACAAAATCATGTACTTGTCCACAATGGTGTATGAGATATCTATATCTAGCTAAAGTAAGGCTACCTTATCATTAAAAAGTACAACATATATCAATATCTTGTTAATTTAAAAGCTACTTTATCTCAACAAGTATAAGAGATATCTATATCTAGCTAAAGTAAGGCTACCTTATCATTAAAAAGTATAACAAGTATCTATATCTTGTTACATTAATGACTACCTTATCCTTAACAAGTACCAGAGATATCTATATCTATGTCAAATACTCGTAGCTCCATGACACACAAAATCAAAATCTTACCAAGAGATATACTTTTCTTAGTAGTAGGTGAAAATTATAAAGTTTAAACATTTTTAATGAACTAGGTTATCACCAGCAATTAAAGTAGTGTATGTTACAACTGTAAACATGTTACAACTGTAAACATCATAGTTTGTTTCACTCAACTAAAAATATTCAAAGAGGTCTATCCAAAAGTTTACTTTAACCTGATGTACTCAAATTTATGTGCCCAAAATGCTAAGCCTATAGGGGATGAAAAGTAGACTTAATAATTTTGGAAACCTTTTTTTCTCAAGGATCAAATACAATGCATTTGACAGTTAAAAGTAAGAACAGTCTCCTTAACTGCAAACCTTAATTTAATCCACTATAATCTCATCAGACATGACTCAAAACTAAAAGTTGCTTCTGAAACACATATATCACAATAATATGTTTTGAGATGTTATGAATAAATACAAATAAACTAATCAAAAAATGAACAAATGATAAAAATTATGAAAAACTGAAGAAAAAACAACAACAATAACTTTCACATAGACCTAATTTCCTTGTTCACCTTTATTCAGAAGGAGACAAGGTTTTATTTATTTTTTTCTCTTTTTACCTTTCTTTATTTTGTAGTTTTTTGTATTTGCTAACAATGTCCCCAAACACCTTTTTCCTCATGTGTTTTTCATTTTGCTCATATTTTGTGGACACCAGCTTCTGATTTAATTTTCTTGTGCTATTTACAAGCACAGGTAAATTCTTTTAACTTTTGTCTTCTTTTTTAGATATGCAATGTTTTACTACTTTTCTGATGAATTATTTTTAAGTTTCTTTGCCTAAAAACTGTTCATACTGCCGCATCTCAATGTCTCCAAACTTAAAGACTCACAGTATTTAACACTTAGAAAAACATTAGAAGTTAGAATGCTACACTTCATAATGTATTCAAACAGTGCAGTAAAGCTACAAGAAATAAAATTATAATAATACACATATTTTGTCTGCCCTACCTCTTGGTTGACTTTTTTATAGCTTGGATGTTCTTCATCTACATCAAAGAAAACCTCAGTGTGCGTAATGGACACATTACCAGGAAGTTCCATGCCCGGAGTTATGAGTTTACATCTTGTAACCAAGGTAACTTGTCCTACGAAATATAATGACGATGAGTAACGACGCAACATTTTCTAACCCAGTAACCGGTGAATAAACAATGTTTAATGTATTCATCATGAGAAAATGATGATTTGGACTGATACAAGTTAGAATGTACTTTCTCTATGTACTGAAATACCATTAATAATATTTTAATTCTCAAAACTGTTTATGATCACATATTGATAATACAAAGAAATAAAAATATTATAACTTAAAAATCACTTAAAAGACACACAATCAATGTAAGAAAAACATATTGTTATCATTTTTGAAAATACACTTATGTGTGTGTGACAGATAACAATCAGAACAAATGAATTAACAAGTATTAAGAAAAACTGCAAAGCTATAAGTGTATGGTCACAATATACCAGCTACTGAATTGGCTAAGTACAGTAAATTTCTGTATTTTTAAAGAAATGTGTGTGTATGGAAAAATGTTTCAGTCCAAGCACTATCACAAGAGCAAGAAGTTCTAATAATGTTTAGAATAATATTGAATTGGAAAACCAAGTCTAACCCAACCATGAACACAGACTAAAATAGTAATCAACTCCTCAACAAACTTCTTAAAGAACATAACAGAAGCAATCAACTGACATTTCACAGGCAAGGTTACCAACTCCAATATTAACAACACAGACTCCACGTTCCACCCTTTATGAAGATATAGTCATGGTTACCAAGTAAAACACTTTCACATGTTAACAACTCTGTCCATTTTGTAGAGATTACGAAAGCAACCAAAATAACTTCACAAGACACAATGATAAAATTTGATGTATCCATCTACTTCATTAACGTATCAACCCCCAATACACTACAAATACATCATCAACAGCTTGAAAATAGCATATAATCACCACAATAACACAACTCACAACCTCCTGTATCAAAATAACCTATTTCCAATATCAAGATAAGTATTATAAACAACAAGAAGGCTTAGCTATGGGCTCACCTCTGTCATCAAAACTCAGTAACTTTTACTTGGAATATCACTATATTGCAAAGATAATGCCCTAAAAACAGCCACCCTGCTCTCAGTATATGGCTCAGACATGTTGATGCATTTATAATAGGGCCAAGTTAAAGATAAGAACCACCTGAACAGATAAACTTCACTGTTATAATACACAAGAAAAAGATAAAAAAACACCCATTTCTAGATGTAATGGTCACCAAATAACTTGTAAACTATAGGAAACCTACAAATATTAGTAAGTACCTTGACTTTAACACCCATTCTAAAACAATAATGGTTACCAAGTAACTTGTACACCACAGGAAACCCACAGATACTGGTAAATACCTTGAATACAAATCAGAGAGTTTACAGATGAGAATCACAGACCAGCTAGTTTCAACATGGGAATCACAGACAAGCTAGTTTCAACATGGGAATCACAGACAAGCTAGTTTCAAGATGGGAATCACAGACAAGCTAGTTTCAACATGGGAATCACAGACAAGCTAGTTTCAACATGGGAATCACAGACAAGCTAGTTTCAACATGGGAATCACAGACAAGCTAGTTTCAACATGGGAATCACAGACAAGCTAGTTTCAACATGGGAATCACAGACTAACTAGTTTCAACATGGGAATCACAGACTAACTAGATTCAAGATGGGAATCACAGACTAACTAGTTTCAACATGGGAATCACAGACTAACTAGTTTCAACATGGGAATCACAGACTAACTAGATTCAAGATGGGAATCACAGACAAGCTAATTTCAACATGGGAATCACAGAAATAGTTGTATTGTACCAGACACTGTAATGTGCAAGTGGGCTGTTTTAGAGCTATCACATGAGCAGAGATGCCTCCAAATATGTGGAAACAGATTATGTTACAGCTCTAAGTAGATTAAAGCTTCTAAGAGAAACACTGAAGATATCAGAATGAAAAGGCAGGCCACCTGTAAGAATATGCTATTATCCAAACTACATGAACTTTAGACACACAGATGATGTAAGAATGCTATAAAACTAGAGATTTCTAAAATAAACAATTTCTTGCAACATTTTAATGGACATATACAGGTTTAAAATGTTTGCTAATCTAACTACAGTTTCTCACTAACCTTGTAATTCAGCCTCCGACTCGTGTTCCTTATCATCCCACAACTCCATGTCTGTTTCATTGCCCTGAAGTTGCTGATGTTGCTTACATTTTGTAGGGATGGACAAACTGTTAAGATCCTTGTCTTGTCCAATGTACTCTAATGAGCCTAAAAAACAGAAAAAAATTCCATCATTAAACAACAGACAGGATCTGTATACCTTCAAAACACTGTTATTACACAACAGAGGATCTGTATATCTTCAAAACCCTGTTATTACACAACAGAGGATCTGTATACCTTCAAAACCCTGTTATTACACAACAAAGGATCTGTATACCTTCAAAACCCTGTTATTACACAACAAAGGATCTGTATACCTTCAAAACACTGTTATTACACAACGAAGGATCTGTATACCTTCAAAACCCTGTTATTACACAACAGAGGATCTGTATACCTTCAAAACCCTGTTATTACAGAACAGAGGATCTGTATATCTTCAAAACCCTGTTATTACAGAACAGAGGATCTGTATACCTTCAAAACCCTGTTATTACAGAACAGAGGATCTGTATACCTTCAAAACACTGTTATTACAGAACAGAGGATCTGTATACCTTAAAAACACTGTTATTACACAACAAAGGATCTGTATACCTTAAAACAACTGTTATTACACAACAAAGGATCTGTATACCTTCAAAACACTGTTATTACACAACAGGGGATCTGTATACCTTCAAAACTGTTATTACACAACAGAGGATCTGTATACCTTCAAAACACTGTTATTACAGAACAGAGGATCTGTATACCTTCAAAACACTGTTATTACAGAACAGAGGATCTGTATACCTTCAAAACCCTGTTTACATCTGTTCTGTACATTAAAGGGCCACGCAGCAATACTGTGTCACTCAGTATCATTATATTCCAACTGACTAACTTTCTAGTGAATAAAGCTACATATATTTCTTCATTTTATGTTTGCATACCTTTGTCTTCTGTGGTTCTCAGTGTAGCTTCAGGGTGGCTAGACCCAAGACTGTTGTGTACCAATCGTTTCCGTCGTCGACCATCATCCTCCCATGTATCTAGTTTCAGAAACTCTCGGAAGGTTAGTCCCCACCTACTACTCCAAGGCCCCAGCTTGTTGGTCATCAAGTTCAGTAGTTTTTCCAACAAACGATTAGCTAACAAACTATCTCTCCGTCGGGCCGCAGCAATCAAGTGACTACACATCTTCTCCTCCTCTTTTCTGTCCAAAGCAACTTGTTCACATAGTGCCTGAATCATGAGAAAAACAAAGAAGTCAAAGTAAAGCAAAAGAAATTTCCACCAACTGTATCAATAAATACATTTTGAAATAGCTCGTTTTTCACATAAATAAAAATGGAGAAGAAAAATATATAAAGAAAAAGTAAAAGAAAGAAAGATTAACTAATTTTCTCTAAGTTAAAGTAATGAACCTTGTGCTAATTCTTGTTTCCATTAATTAATGAACAATTACAATGTCATAATACACAAAGTGTTCAATAGAATAGAAAATTAAAACAGAAAATGCTTGAAAACAATAAGGTTAAATTAGTTCTTATGGTTTTTATTTCCATTCAGAATTCCTTTATATTTTGTTTTTCTATTTATTCTACAGCAATAAACCACTTGAGTGAAGATACATAAAAATCTATATTTTAAAATATTTTCAAAACCATTTTAATTCTGAAGTTGAACTAAGAACTTATCCGCAAATCAACAAAAAATTGCAATAAATTAATTTTGAGCTTTACAAGTTGAATGGAAAAGTTTAAGAGCCGTGCCTTTAGTGATTAACAAGTTTACTGCAGAGAGTTGTAGCTGTAAATTTGGTTCCTAAAGCATGATTAAAAATTACGGGTTCGAATTCTGACAGAACTTAGTTTTCAGCACTTCAGAAAAATTCCTATTTCATTTAGTTTCTATACTGCCTATCAATTTTCTACACTAACACTCACCTCAAATTCTCCATGTTTCAATACATCATCTGCTCTCATTCGGTTCAATATAAACTCTGCCTCTTTAGCAACTCGAACTGTGTGATCCTTCATCGAGTGAGAAAGTAACCTACAAAACAAATAATAAAAACTAGGTCATGCTGAGAAAAAAATCAAAGTTCCTAGAAAAGAAAACATCTGAAAATAGTATTGTTAATGTATTACACAAATGACTTAAGATCGTTAAGAAAACCAGCATGATGAAACCCCTAACATACATGCACATAATAAATAATAATAATATGCAAGTATAAAAGAGGAAAATAAATGAAAATAAACAGAAATGATGTTTGCCACCTAGCAGCAGGTTATAAAATTTGTTTGAATGCACAGTAATACATGAAACTCCATCCTAATCTATTAGAGTTCTCTAATATTCTAAAAATTGTCTATACTCCCACACTTATGCAGCACTAACTAAAAATGTGCTAAATCCTATGATGTCCTGTCACATATTATGCCTAATGATTCCCATTGTTTCAATATTTACACACATTCAAACCCACTGACACAATCTTCTACTTCGATAAGATTTTCATGGAGTAACAATTTACTGTTTGTATAAAGAATGTTGTAGAGTAACAATTTACTGTTGTATAAAAGATTGTTGTGGAGTAACAATTTACTGTTGTATAAAGACTGTCGTAGAGTAACAATTTACTGTTGTATAAAGACTGTCGTAGAGTAACAATTTACTGTTGTATAAAGACTGTCGTAGAGTAACAATTTACTGTTGTATAAAGACTGTCGTAGTGTAACAATTTACTGTTGTATAAAAGAGTGTTGTGGAGTAACAATTTACTGTTTGTATAAAGATTGTTGTGGAGTAACAATTTACTGCTGTATAAAAGATTGTTGTGGAGTAACAATTTACTGTTGTATAAAGAATGCCGTAGAGTAACAATTTACTGTTGTATAAAAGAGTGTTGTGGAGTAACAATTTACTGTTTGTATAAAGATTGTTGTGGAGTAACAATTTACTGTTTGTATAAAGACCGTTGTGAAGTAACAATTTATTGTTTGTATAAAGACTGTCCTGCAGTAACAATTTATTGTTTGTATAAAGACCGTTGTGAAGTAACAATTTATAAAGACAGTTGTGGAATAACAATTTACTGTTTTTATAAACAATGTCCTGCAGTAGAAAACCTGAAGAAGACAGACCAATGTTCCATCGGAACATTTAGTATGTTCCCCAACCTAAAACCACTTTATTATGCTTATAAATCATATTTTCAGTTTATTATTATATTAATATAAAGTATTTCCATACACAAGTAACAACAATTGTTTTCCACAAGCACTATTATGTAATAACAATTTGTTTTTACAAATAATGTTATGCAAAAAAAATTCTTTCTTGCAAGCATTGTTATGTAACAAATTGATTTTTCAAAGCATAGTCATGTAGGCACAATGTACTGCCTGATTTTATAGACAGATTCACAATCTTATACTCACAATCTACTGATTTAACATAGCCATATAGTCAATAATTTACTATTTTGTTAAGTCATGCTGTATTAACTTTATCTTTTAAAAGTAGTAATGTAATCACAATTTTAAAATCTTACATCATGTTAGTTTGCATCAGTTACACAATCCAAAACTTTATTTACTAGTTCTATAAATGCTAATCCTACTAAACACACTTACCTTCCTTCGTTTACTAGTTCTATAAATGCTAGTCCTACTAAAAACACTTGCCTTCCTTCATTTACTAGTTCTATAAATGCTAGTCCTGCTAAAAACACTTACCTTCCTTCATTTACTAGTTCTATAAATGCTAGTCCTGCATGTTTCTGCAGAGAATTTTGCCATTCCTGAGAACACAACAGCATTACGAGTTCTACAACTGAGGAACTGTTTTTAAAGGTAACCAAACCTACAAAAGAAAACAAAAAACATGAAACAGAATAGTCTTTCTTTTTCTCAATACTTAAGAGAGTAATATTTGTTTTTATCTATAAGTTCAGAATTATCTAAACTAACTACATGTAATTTCAACACTGATAAAATTTACAAAAGAAAAACAATTATTAAATTTTCACAATTGAAATAAAATTGACCAAAAACTAAAAAGTTCTATTTTATAAACACATTTACACTAATGTTCCTTTGGGATTTCTAATAACTTAACAAAATAAATTAACAGACCATAAAAAACAACATAATATCAAGAAATAAAAAGAAAAATAACTGCACTCTGAGTAGTGTAAATTAAGATTTTAATAGATGTGTGCTTTTGTTTTCATAAAATACAAATTTCTCATTCATCATATAACAAATTGAAGCTACACAACTATTAGGAAAGTGAAATCTTACCTTTACCCTCAATCAGCAGGTCTTGTCCATGAGAACCAATCAGCGTTTTTGACAAGAAAGATGAAAAATCCACCATAATATCTTTGAGAAGAGGACAAACACCTCCAAGAGCTTTCTCTAACTTTTGAGTGATGAGGGCTTCTCGAGAGGAAGGAAGAGGGATGCTTAAAGGCCCTGGAGCTTTCCATGTTGTTAGTGGAAGAGCCTCTGGGCGTCCATTTAGGGGTAAACTACCATTAACCCCCTTAGATGGTACATTCCCAGTGGTTGAGCTAGGCCTGTTCCCTTGAACATTTTGGTGTTCAATAACTGCTAATTTCCCAACATCACTTTTGTGATGTGACTCAATGTTTAGCTGGGATTCAGCAGCTGATGTCTTAGTGCACTCATCCACAGAGTTTCTGGAATCTCCAGAGTGACCAGAATCAGAGAGCTAAGATTCAAAGTAATTATCATGAACAGAGTTTTCAATTAACCAAAAGTAGAAAAAATCTAATCTATCGAGTTTGTCACAAAACTGTCCATCAAACTAAACAAACTTTATACACATTAAATTTTTAATAATCCATCAAATTTAGTTTAGTTTTGGCACAAACAATCTGCAGTATTGTGTCATTGAAGCCCTAAAAATGTATTTACTTCATAAAAAAATGTTTTATCATACTTGTAATACATCTCTTATGTAATAAGTATATTTTATAAAGCATATACAGATAACTTTACACTTTGATTATTTCTAAGTTATAAAGTCTTGAAAAACTGAAGGAGCTACTAACCTGCAAGACTTTGGTTGTCTCGATTTGGGTTGTTTTTAAAGAGCTATAGATGCCACCATTTTGAGCCAATGGTGTAGGTTCTTGTATTTTATCCTCTAATGTGTGCTGGCCTAAAAAAATAAAAGCAATGTCTTATTATCTTTTCTTTACATACAATTACAATTTCCAATCTTTAGTTAAACTCATTTAATTTGCTAACTGAAAACAAAAGCTTGTTTCTTTAACCAAGTACAGGATATTTTTTATAGATAAACTAGAGAATGAGTGATTCCATTATTTGATTCTGAATTAAACTAGAGATATGTATAATATTCTCAAATTAGATCAACAAGTTTTTCTAACCTGTTTGTCTAGAGGAAGGGTCTGATATTACAGATGCTTCACCTATGATTCGAGAGGTTGTGGCACTAGTGTCATCATACAGAACTGACCTTGGTATGGGTTCCAGAATATCCCGATATTTGGAAACCATCAAAACAGAAATAAAGTACACGACTGCCAATGCTATAAAATGGGATTGTTTAGTCTCATCCTGTGAAGGAGAAATGTAAACAAACAATGTTACCTAAATAAAACCACACACACACAACTAATAATGTTTGTTTGTTCATGTTATACCAACACTTATAGCATAAAAATGTAGCTAACAATTCGTATTTTAATAGTATATAAGTTATTATATTTATAAGACAATATTAAAACAAATATTAAATTTCCCCTAGTGTTAGAATTGTGACATTATTTCTCTAGGTATCCCCTCTTCTCTAACTTATTTATCACCCCTCCAAAAAGTACGAAATTTGACATAATTTACTCATTATAATGTTACATTGCTCAGGCAAAGCAAAGTTTTTATAGTCTTCAATCTTATTTGTTTACAGAGCCATCACATAGAAAATCAGACCTCTCTTATCATGCCCACCTGTCACATCCTCTATTTCAGAAATTGCCAACAGTTCTCTCTGTTGTTCAATACTATATTATTTATATACTATAGAAAGCTTTCTCTATGAAATGACTTACTATATTACATTGTTTTCTGTACATTTAATTGTCAATTTTGCTTTCAGTTCAAGCTTTATTCACACAGGAAACACATTGACTAGCTTAGATGAATTTGTCACGGCTCTTACTGCATAGTAAGAAAGCCAGAAAAATTGTGATAGTTATGGGATAATGTCTGCTTTTTACAAGCTATTTTTCTGTGTTCTTTGGTGCATTATTTAATTAAATAAAAAATTATTTAGTGCAGTACTACCAAGAGTATAAAATAATATAGTTAAATGTCATCGACACTTGACAATAGAGAAAATAGAAGACAAAGGTAAGTACATTTGTGTTCTTTATTTCTTATTATAAAAGTAACTAAAATGTAAAAATAGGAAACTTTTTAAGTTAGTTACAGTGAAATTAGGTGATATAATAATAATAATCAAACAAAATTTTTCAAGAGGTATGCTCACAAGTAGATTGTAGTTCAATAGCATAAAATAAGTTGCATGTTTACCATTTGATTTACAACTTATGATGGTTCGAATAGTTGTTAGACACGAGTCAAAGGGCAATAACAATTTAAGTATATAAATATATGTATACTGTTATGAGTTTAAAGCTATTTAGAATAAACAAATGTAGTTTCATGTTACAATTTGCAGTCGTTATAGAAAGGAAAAAAATGGTAATTTAGATTTATTTCGATTTTCTTTCTTTTTATTTTGGTAGTTTTGAGATTGGTAAAATTGACCAACTTTGTATTGAATTAGGGTAGAGAAAATAACGTGTAGAATATGGTTTTTTCCAGTAAAATAACATGTAAGATATAAAGTTTTACTGAAAAAAAGCCTTAAAATTTATTTAGGTTTTACAGGTTATGCAAATGAAATATGAGATTTTTAACACAAAGAAAAGAATTCTTAATCTTGATGTGGAAATCACTTTGCATTTGGAGTAGTAAAAAAAAAAAAGACTATAGATATTGACAAACAAATCTTTACTAAAATACTTCATTAAAAAATCTGACTTTTGTGTATATAAAAGCCTCTCAAATTTTATGGAGATACACGATGTATTAAAAGTTATGGAAACTATGATGAGTACAAAATCATTATGAGGTCACTCAGTTTGACTGACTTTGTAGCAAGAGAGTTAATGAGAATGACAAAACACCAAACCTATTATAGTTCATTAGTGAGAATGAGAAATACACCACAGCTGCTATAGTTTGTTAGTGAGAATAACAAAACACCAAACCTATTATAGTTCATTAGTGAGAATGAGAAATCACCACAACTGTTACGATTCATTAGTGAGAATAACAAAACACCAAACTTGTTTTAGTTCATTAGTAATAAATACATTTAACATAAAAACCAAATTTAACAATAAACTGCTAGTGCATTAAAGATATTTGCAGCTTTATATGACTGGTACTGTATTCACCAAGCATAAACAGAGAGAGAGAAAATAAAGACTTGGGATATCCTGGGCTATGCAATGTGTCTATCACTCATAACCAGTGAAAGGATTGGGACAAAACGAGACGTGTTCATTAGCAATAAACGGCGAGAAAAATTAAACCTCACATAATGGGTATTATGTGTACACTGAAATTAAAAGTAACAAATTAAGGCTTGGGACAGGAAAGGCCATGTGATGTGTTCAATGACACTTAAGTAGTGGTAAATGTTAAAAATTATCTTTCGGAAATTATTTCTTCTTTAATAATTGAGACAGTTATGTGTTGTGAAATAAAATATGTGGTGTGCTATGGAATGGACCATATTTATGTACATTTGAATCTGTTGTTGGAAAGAGAACTCAGACTATTTTGATGTCTATTTTGTTTATATGTTGTGATGAGATACTCCAACTTAATTTTCTGTGGTTCAAAAAGTACTGTTTATATTTCAGTTGATGTGTGTGGCAATTATATCCAGGTTTAAACTCACATATACAAGTATACATGTACATTGCACCTGAACTTTGTAATACAAAAAAATATTAAACCACTCACCACATCATGGTATACAACCGCTCGTAGTCGGTGAACATCAATATCTTGTAACAACTTCTCTAAGTCTTTCATATAACCACTGTGGTTCACAGAGTTATCACCTATATTCTACATAAACAGGAAAAAAAACTGTCATTACATTTGGTTCTGTTATCAAATTAACCCTGTCATAACAGTTGATGACCTACCTGGTGTCGAGTACACACCTCATATCAACATTTAAAATTTGAGTAAAAATAATAATTCTACATCTATTAAATTTTTGTTTCCTTAAATATACCTTAGAATTGATTTTTTGTGATTAAATGATAGTCATTTAGTGTAATTATAAAGTAAAATTAACGTCCCAACTTTCATTTCTGTACAGCTCCAAACAGTCTCATCTGTAAACAATGAACTGATTGATTTTTATTAATTTTTCTGCCCAGACTAAATTATAAGTTTAAAGAATGAAAATATAATGATCAATGTGTTGTTTTTCACATGATTTTCTTTCTTACCATGATGTCACACCATATGATCTAAAGTTCAGCTTTGATAATAGCTAAAACCAATAGCTAAATACAATTGGACAGAAGAGACTGTAATATATCTCTATCAAAATGAATTGAGCAGTAATATGCAGTTTCATGAGATATTGGTTACTGGAGCTAATGTGAAGTTTGGACAACTTAGAAACAAAGAACAGATATGGAATTTTTTTAAAGTTTCTTTAGACATTCTTTACAATCTCTTTGTTTCAAATAACACATCAAACCTTTCTATACACTTCCTATGATATCATCAAATAAAAAATCTCACAATAAATTATTTACATTATCACTATCTAATAATATAACCTTTATGAACATTTAATGAAACATAACACATGATATCAAACTTATCATGAATTGTTTAAATGTTGAACAAAGAAAGTTCACATCCTGTTATATATATTTTTGACTTGAGAATGACACATTTTCTTATTAATATCATACTTTTCCACCCATTAATGCTTGAATAGTCTCCTTAGCTGTTGACACTCTGGATGTTCGAGCCGGGTTTCTAGATTTGTGTTCTAAACACGTTCTTACAGCAGTTGTACACACTGCAAACAAAACAAAAAAATCAATGTTCCCAAACCAGTCAGTAACATAAGACAACCCTAAAATTACTCTCATTTCTACTTACTCTTGGTAACTTTAAACTTGATAATTAGTTTCTTCTAATACAAACATTGATGTACTACACATTACTTTCTGTGTATTCTTAAATTTGTTTGTATTAAGATATCCTGAAATTATCAAGTTCTTTCACAAAGTACAAAAACTACAAAATTAAAGTTCATCATTAATGCTTTCATTAGATCAAATACCAACAACTGACCATATTAAAACTTTAAAATTCTTTTTCTATGTACATTTTCAGTAACAATTAAATGTTAAATAAATGTTAGCACTACTCTAGTATCAAACAATGATTTTTTTTTTTTCTAACCAGGGAAGTACTACAAATAACTTTATAAAGATCTAATATTCTACACTACCTAGACGTAAACACTGTCTTAGAATTCCTCCACTGGGCATGTTCTTTTCTGCCTCGAGTTCACTAAAGTTCAAAGAAGAGTTAAATACTAAGACATCAGCCATGTTAGCAAGTCGTTGAAGGAAACCTCCTGCTACTTCCACTGGCATCCCTTGGGTTGGTTCTATTGCCTCAACTTCAGGCTATGAAAGAAAAAACATCAGTATTACATATTTCATGAACTTGGTTTAACTCTCTCAGAGACCTGTTAACAAAATGGTACCCTATTATAGAATTCACCAGAAACTTCATGATATAGTTGGCTTTTACCTTTTTAGTAACACATATGCACATAAGAGATTAATTTGAAATACCCTCTTGGTGCTGAGTTTAGAAAATCTTCACTGGATATCTTTAATATTTCTGAGCATTGTTTCTGATTTGATTAACATAGCATCTAAATCAAAGTTTTAAATTCTACACCTAACTTTGATGACTTAGTCAACAACTGTTTCATTTTCAATCTACCATTTTGCATGTAAAATTTATAATGTGGATGTATATTTATCACCTGTTACACCTTAACACTTTATCAATCATTTATTCTATTTCATGTCTCTACATCTACTGATGAACTTGTTCAGTAGTCAGTAGCTACAACTAAGTTGTACCTCTACTGATGAACTTGTTCTGTAGTCAGTAGCTACAACTAAGTTGTACCTCTACTGATGAACTTGTTCTGTCATCAGTAGGTATAAGTTTGATCTCTACATCTTCTGATGAAATTATTCTAATCAGCAACAAGTCAATAACCGTAGATCTTGTTATGAGTTTATTCAACACCTAACATCTTCACTTATGCTTGCAACAAGTCAATAACCCTAGATCTTGTTATGAGTTTATTCAACACCTAACATCTTCACTTATGCTTGCAACAAGTCAATAACCCTAAATCTTGTAATGAGTTTATTCAACACCTAACATTTTCACTTATACTTGCAACAAGTCAATAACCCTAAATCTTGTTATGAGTTTATTCAACACCTAACACCTT